CGGGGCGAACAGGGATCCCTGGTGAGGAGGGAGCGCGGAGCGCACGGCCCGCTCAAGCGACGGCTCGCTTCCCGCAGCTGAAGGCGGACATCAATATCACGGGGAGACGAGGCCTTCGCGACCCCGGCTGCTGAAGCAAAGCTGCCGCTCTCCTATTTCTTCCCTTAATAAGCTTTTAATGAAGGAAATCAAAATCCCAGCTTTGACTTCAGCGCAGCTCTTCGTGAAAAGGTTACACAAATACATCAGTGTCATGCTTTCCAAGTGCTTGGGATCTGGGTGCTTTCATTTCATTTTTTATAATCTGTTTGTTCTCCAAATGGCATTCGTATTATTTGTGCCGAAGAGGGAACTGTACTAGATGGATAAGCTGTGCCTAATTTTGCTCCAATATGTGGTTCTTCTAACCTCTCAAAAATATGAGGAGCCAAAGTCGTGGTGGAAATCCTAGGCAAGATCTTTCTTTATGTTTTGTAGGATCCCTAGCCATAACTAGGAATGTCACAGTGCTACTGCAGATGCAGGAGAAGTCTTGACACTCGACACTGTAAAGGCCTCAAAAGCATCCCTGAAGTAACAGCTTGGAAGATGCTCTTAGATGGTAAAAGCAGAGTTATATGCAGTTGAAAAGTGTATATGCTTTACTGATCAGAAATATAATTCAGTGATTAAATAATCCAGCATATAAAAGAGCCAATTCCAAAATAAAACAAGCTAATGCTTATGCAATATTAGACTGAGGAGAGGATCACAGGGCAGGACATGGCACACTGCGAGGCGATGCTCTTTTGAGTTCCACGTGCCCATTAAGCTCACTTTCTTCTTTTCAAAAAATAAAAGAAAAACAACAACAAAAACTCTTGCTCCTCCCAAAACAATAAACAACCCACAGGCAGTCACGGGCATCCCAAAGGGTGTCAACACCACTTGGATAGAAGGTTTACAGTAAAACAACAACAAAAAACAATAAAAGCCTCAATAGTATATGCTGTCAGTTTTATTACTTAAGCAGAGTTAAATGTGGGGAAAAAATAAACTAAAAGAAAGAACAGCACATATTATCTCATGAACCCTTCAAGCCAACTATCATCTACAATCTGAGTTCTTTTCTTCTGCTCTTCTAATCTTCAATAAAATCCTCAAATTTGTTCTCTGTTTGTTTCTTTCCTCATCACCTGACTTCAGGCAAATCTTCCTTCACAGACTTCCCTCAAGGTGTGGTGTGCAACGGGAAGCAGCATGTGAAATGCCTCTTGCTGCTTTACCTCTTTTGAAGTCTGTCAATTTTGACCAGTTTAGTAACAATGTAAATAACCTAAATCTGTGTAAAATGTGATATAATATACCCCTTAGGTGGTAGGCGCGTCAAAGCTGGAAACATCTTCCTGAAAAGCACACAAGAAACATTAACAGCAAGAGCAATTAAAATACATTTTAGCACAGTCTGTTGAAACTGTGGTGGTTCTGGGACTGTGGAACACCAGTTTCTAGCAAAATACTAAAAAATGCAGTTAAGTTATACGGACTGCTGCATCTTGCCGTAAGAAAACCAAAATGCTTTTTCTGTTGTTCCTCCGTGCCTCCCTCCCCTAAAGCTCATACAGATCCTTGATATTCAAAAGCCTGTTTTTTTGAACTTTGAGGAATTTCTGAGCCTACACAAAGAAATCCTTTACACCTATCTGCTCTTAAGCTCGCCCAGTAGCGGCAACTAGCTGCTGTGAAGCCATCAGCCCACGCAGGGCAAACAGATCTTACATAAAACCCACACTCAGGTGGAGACCAGACCTATGCAGAAGAATAAAGAGTTAATGAAAATCTAAGTACAGAACTTTGTAAATATGCTTCCGTCTCAAAAAAAAAAAAAAATCACAATTTTGATTTTGGATGAAAGATCTTCCTAATTATATCCTATTCATAGGTGCCAGCCTCATCACAGTATCATTGTTAGAAATCACCTTATTCCAAAGATAAACCTAACATACAGATGTTAACAAAAGTTTTAAAGTCCCTACAAGAGTGTCTGAAATGGCAAGGAGATTACCAAAATACTGAAATAAAATACACGGAAACAGAATAGGTTTGGAAAACAAATCTCCTATGCAACTTTTTAAATTGAATTTTACAGTATTCCTCCCTATCATCCTGAAAACCCTTTGTTGTAACCTGTGTTATGATATAATATGCATCTACAAACATTAGCCTGACTGATCCCATAGGAGTTCTTATGAGTGACTTCAGCCCCAAATTTCATACTCTACTCTAGAAAGTAGTAATAATTTTCAAAACATAAAATAAAAACATTAAAAAAGGTGTTTCACCTGTCCTCTGCAGTATTTGCAAAGGAAACTCCAGCTCTCAGCCACATCGAGTTGAATTTGTGCCAGTTTAGCTTTCACTATGAGCTCTCAGAAATATATTGATCCCCTCAAACGATGACATATTATGCAAATACTCACTTTATTTAAATAGATGTTAATAACAGGCAAAATATTTGCCAGCAATGGACCAAATAGCCAAAGACTTATATTAGGCACACACACACAAAAAAGTGCAATTAAAGCAACTGCTATCAACAAAGAAGACTTATTAAAATAGCTGGTAAATTAAAAAGCTCTGTAAAACTTATCATTAAACCTCTTAAAAAAAAAAAAAAAAAAAAAAAGCAACTAACACTAGACACCCAAGCTTTGAACAACTGGTTTGTGATTCTTCACACAACAGCTTCAATACTCACAGAACTAATGTGGATGAATAGCCTTACTTTCAACTTTCAGGATCTTATAAATAAATAAATACATACATACATAAAAGATTCCAGCATCTTTTCTAGTTTAGTGATGACTATGCTAGTCTGTACTAACCTACAAATTTGAAAAATGAAACAGTTCTCTAGTGGAAAACTCCATATAAGAAAGCATTAACTTTAACTTAATAAATAATCTTTGGTGCTGAAACTGTATTTGAACAGATTTTTTTTTTTCGTGACCAATAAACAGGAGGAAAAACTTCTGTAAAGCCAAGAAGGTGGGTACACTAGATTTAAATTGATCCTGTATGCTGCAGTCAATGTGTTTCACCAAGATAACATACATATTTATGCAGCAAAAAAAAGGGCAGGGATTCACACAGTTCTCTCTTCCATTCATCTCCTTACTTAATAAATGCCTAAATAAGGGAACAGCATTTAACACTTAGAATCCTAGTGGAGGAGAGTCTGTCTCTCTTCATCTGGATATAGCCTCTTAAAAGAAGCACAAGGCAGGGAGGGAACAAATGGTGCTTAAACAAGGCAACAAGTGGCAGGACTTGTGATTTCAGTGTAGCAGGAAAAAGATCAGGATAAGACAGCAACCCCAGATTTTCATTACGTTACCATGACTCATGTACCAATTCTCCAGCAGAAAGCCTCTTTCCACTGCTATCACTTATCAAGACTAAGACTTCTCTGGTTCCTCCTTGGACACTAACCTGTTTAACTGCAGGTGTG